CGTCGCCATGCCTTCCTCGGTGTCCGTCACTGTCACTTGATAGAAGAAAAGAAGACATGCAAGGGGTGATTGTCACCCCCTACTTCTTTCAATTTGCCCTCTTGAATCCTCACCGGTTCTAATTGCCATCTCATCCCCAATTCCATCCAGAAATTTGGCGATTCGGCGGCGAGATTCGACAGTCGGATCAAGAAATCCGGCCAGATCCACCCCCTACGTCGGTCTTCAACTAACCAAGACACCGACCCGAAACCGTTGACGGCGGTTTTCGGCTAACCGACAAGGCAATCGGTGTCGGTGGCAGTTGGGGTTTTTGGATTATTGTCGGTTGCAGGTAACCGCGTTGGCGGTTCGGTTAAAATCGAAACCGCACCGCTAACAGCCCTAGAAATTTCGCTCCTAAAAGGGTGGGTTTACGCTAGGTTTCTCGTGTTTTTTAGTGTGTTTCAGGATTTAACAGGTGAAACCAACCCCGGAGTCGAAAGTTGGACGAAAAGGAGCGAAAACCAGGAGAAGAGGTGAAAAACGGCGAGTTCACGATTTTTCTTGGATGTTCAGGGTCTTGTATGACCATGAAGAAGAGTCCTCGCCCATGAACTTTGAGGCGTCCAGGGCCAAAACTCAAGTTACTAACGCTAATTGAGTTCACGGTACTAAGACCGTGAACTGGAGCTTTTGCCCGTGAACACGTGCAAGTGAAGCAGTGCGTTTCGGCGCCCATCTGGAGTTCACGGACGCGTTTCAGAGTTCACGGCCGTGAACTACCACGATCCCTATTTAAAAGATGAGCTGAAAGGAAGAGAGAGGGGAGAGCCCATTGTGTGAGAAAGCCTTCTTCAGATATTTAGAGAGAGAAACACGAACCAAAGGAGAAGGAGGCTAGGGTTTTTCTCCAAGGTGGGATTTGGGAAGATTCTCCCCAAGAGAAGTTCAGCACAAGTGCCAAGAAGATTGGAAGCCTCCTCCAAGATGGTTTCTACCTCTTATCCTTGTGTTTCTCCCATTTCTAGCATGAAGTAGATTTTTTTTCACTTGGGTGTTGTGAAACCCTAACTAGCTATGATTTTGTTTCTTTTATGTGAATTGAATGATTGTCAGTGGGTATTGTTTAATTCAATGATTGATGTATTATTCATGTTGATTGTGCATGCTTGTGCTTAGCAATCTAAGGATTGTGCATGTTTTGTGCTTAGCATCCTTAGGTTTGTGCATGTTGGTGCTTAGCAACCTAAGGATTGTGCATGATTGTGCTTAGCATTCTTAGGTTTGTGCTTGTTGGTGCTTAGCAATCTAATTAGCCACTTTAACCTAGATTAGAGAGGAAAATCCCCCTTTCAAGGGAGAATCAATCGAGTTGGTTTTCCTTTAGCTTTTTAAGGCACCTAACTAGGTTAATTTAGGGCAAACCTCAATGTTGAATTAAGCAAATTGGTTAAGTGCGATTAAGCCGTCCAACCCTTGAGTTGGGTGAGGGAGTAAGTCAACCACCGATTTCCTAAACCGAGAGGGCCGAGTGACCCATCCTATAATGTATACCTCGGTTTAGCAATAGTGAGTGTGGTCTACGACCATATTTGCACCCCTCTGCGGTTCGCGGTTACCTTGCCCATAGCAATCGTTTCAATTCACATACCATGGTAGTAGTTAGGGGGAAGCGACACTCGAGTGATCCTTCTCACAACGAGCTTTCAAAACCATTTACCTTTGCCTTATTTTATTTTAATTAGAAAACTTTTAAACCAAAACTTTGTTGCTAGATAATGATTCAAATGTCTGAAGTAGGGGTACAGGGACCGGCTCGGGTTGATATTTAAACATACTTATCTTGTACTGCACCCGACTAAGGTTTATACTTGGACCTTAGGTGGGAAATTATTGTGGTATTCGGGACGAGTCAGAAGACTACCTGTATGTGATGAAGTAAAAATCATATGACTTCTACTCATATTAATATCCGAATGACCTCTCAAATAAGAATCCAAAAGACATTGGTAGTTATGTTGTTACAACTTTCGACACAATAGCAACGAGTTTGATTATTCTAGTCTTGTTTGAAGTCTATAACTATAAAAATCATATTGAGTGTTCTTTTTATTGAGTCCATATTCATCTTCATGCTAGGGATAGGCAATGGGTTGTCGAATGCTAAACCCACCCGATTATAACTCACCCATTACATGTTTGGATGGATATGATAGGTGTGTGTGGGGTTTTTTACCCATTAAATTTGGATGGATGACGAGTGGGTAGCGTCTTTGTCATTACACTCAAAATCACATAATATATTAAGGGTTGGTTTGGATGGGGCAATTGCCCAATAAGTCAATTGGGCAAATTGGCTCATTTGAGAATTGATTCATATTAGGAATTCTACCCATATTGTTTCGTTTGGTTAGGTTTTGATAGTCTAGGCAATTCATTTTTTTGTCTTATTTGGAGAGAAAGTTGAAATACCAAATTGTCCTTCATTAATGATTATTTTATTCCCTCCTCTATACTAGAGCAACCATCTCCACCAAAAAAACCAACCATTTTAGCTCCCCCACATTTTGTCTCTCTCACTCACTCTCTCTCTCCCCATTCCCCTAGACCCCTACACAACAATCCCTAAACAGGGAGAACGTAAAAAGCAGAGTCTTGCTCTCTTTCCATTGTCGATCTCCACTTAGCCGTGACCTGCAAGACCTCTCCTTTATGAAATGGGCACCGGCTTCTTCACCGCCGATTTGACGGACTGAGGGGTATACTCCACCGGCTCCAGCTCCTGTTTGTGAGCAATGTAGTGATTTCGCCCTAAAGGAGGTTCAAGTTGGGAAACAAAGATTGGTTATAGTGGAGAGACAACTTAGTAGAGTGGTGATTAGCTAGTTTAGTACTTTTTTAGGGTAATCTTGTATAGTTGTGATTATAGTTTGGTTAGCGACAATTGTTTAACTTGTGTACTTCTTTTGATTTGTGAAGCTTGTACTTTGATATGTTAACCTAAGCTATAGAAGTTGTACATTTGTATTTGGTGAACCTGTAACTTGTACTTTGATTGATTTAGTAGTTGTTATTATGTAACTTGCAACTTGTGATATGTTAATTTAAGTGGTTTAAGTTATGTTTAGAAATGGTGTGTTTTGATTGTGTTAATATTTGGAGATAAACCTGCAATTTATAATAGAAACTAAGCCACTACAGGCAAAAAAATGCAGTTGTTTTCATTATAACCTGCAATTTAAAAAGCCATTCATAATAGATAACTCACAATACAAACATTAATATATGCTGCAATATACCATTTACATGAATAGCAGATTAATACATTTACCAGGTGCAAATTACAATAGGGTTCTTAAAAACTGTATAGCAGTTACAATAGGGTACTTACATGTGACTGCTAATTCTTACAGCTTGGTTCATCATTTGAACTTTACAAAAAAACAACCTGATGAAATGGATCATCCTCCATTTAAGTTCAAGCTCCTAGAAAGCTAACCATACAACTTCACAAAAGAATAATTTGTCCTACATTTTCAAAAACTGTCATTGGCCGTGCAAACAATGACAGATAGACAAAACGAAAGGGCCCTTTGCAAACTGGACAACTATCTTACAACTTACAACCTAATAGACTTACTATACAACTACATAGCAGAAAAAATCCCTCATTCGTCCTGAGGAGGTCAAGAAAAAGTGTGAGCTTGTCTTCATCCTTCTCCAGCTCATAGAAACAGTTTAATTCACCTGGATTATTGGAGAACTTCCTCACAACAATGATCATTTCAGCTCTAGTCAGTCCATACATTTTTCCCAAGTGCTTCAGCAAATCCTTACGCATGAAGTTGTAGTCCTCACTCTGTCCCAAAGCCCTTGCAATGGTGTCCACAGACTCTTCAATATTGAGCTTCTTGCACCTACATCCTCTTGAGAGTACAACTCTCTGAATTTTATTCTTAAGGCCCTACTTTCCGTGCCAACTTAATCCTCCAAAGATCCCCTTTTCGTTGGCCTCCCATTCCCATAGCTTAAATATGTTAAGGATACTTTCCTGTACAAAAATCTATCCTTAAGAAACAGTCTTTTTAATTTCTCTTGGGCCATGCTTCATTGAGATTCCACAATCTAAGCCCATGGGTCCATCTTCACTTTCTTTTAAATCTACTCCATACAAAAGATCCCATGAAAGAGAACCCATATGTGATTCAAGAATTTGCCCATCTGACTCCAAATCTTGATTGAGCCTCGGCCTGCTCCGTTGAATCCCATCGAATCTCTTCTCACAACCCGCTACACTCGACCCCACTTCATCAAGCCTCAGCTCAATAAGCGTTCCTAGCTCGGACTGCTTTCTCTCACACTTCGACCCACTCTGTACTTTCAATGACCCATCTTGCACACCTTGTCGATCCACGAAAACCCTCCTGGAGCCCAATCCTACTCGACCCACTCCTCCTGACCGTACAGCCCACTCGACCCATTGCAAAAGGGAGAGCGCCTCCACGATTCACACCACCCGCCGCCAGATTCTTCTTCGCCTCCATCGCCGGTACTTCCTCCTCCAGCGGCGATGCGTTCCTCGGGAGGCGGAGAGAAAATCTTGACCCGGCCTCCCTCGTCCACGACTCCGACTCCCCGAGCTCGCATCTTGTTTCCGGCCTTCCTCCTCTCCTTGGCGGTACGGACGGCGCCCCCGATCTTCGCACATCTTGCGCGATTTGCGTCGTCGGCAAATTGCCCCGTCGATTCAGCTGGTCGAGCCGGGGATCCAACGTTGCTTCTCCCCCTTCTCGTCGGACGCTGATGCCGTGAAACTCCGCCGACCTCGAGCCCGCCTCCACCAGCCCAAGTGACGGCGAGTTTGACGCCGCCGCCGAAGGATCCCGACGCCTCTGCTCTGCCTCTACCCTGCGTCATCGAACGTTCACCGTCCCCTATAGCTTGGTCTCCCGCTCTGTCTCCCCTAGGAAAGAACCCCATGAACGTCACCCTTGCGAGATGAGCCTATGACGCGGTGCCTATTCTTGAGCAGAATTGGACGATTCCAGGAGCAAGGGTGGCGGACCGACCTTGCCCCAATCTGTCTTCGCAGCGACAGCCACCAAGGGTGGATATTTGCCCTCCTGTGACGTGACGTAGCCCTCTCGCAGCCTGTGTTCATCATTTATCCTTGGTGAGTCTATTACCTTGATTGGTGGTTCCACAACGACGCTCGACAGTAGTGGTTGCAGCATCGTGGTGATTTCAGCCACAGGTGGTTGCGCTAACTTGTCTTTGGTGGCCGGCGAATCCTCCGAGATCGATGTGCCTTTTGAAACAGATCCATCTATTGTTGTAACCCAACGGACGCTCTGCCGTAATGATGAGTTCATCCGATCTCGCTCTTTGTATCGTTATATGCTCTCTCTCGAACCCAGGCAAGAAGAAGGAGAAGCGAACGTACCGATGATACTTCGTCCTAGTGGTGCTTGGTTCGAGATCTTCATACACACGTTCGTCCCCGGTTGAGAGTTTTGACGAACTTAGATTCGTGACCATGGCTCTGATACCAGATGATAGAAACCCGCTTATTTGGATTTCTAACGATTTACGTAACCTGTAATTTAGAAATGGGGATTTAGGGATTGAGAATAGAAATTAGGGATTAGGAGAAGAATTGGGGATTTGGAATTGATTGAGATTTAGGGATTTAGAAGAGAATTTGGAGAAGAAGAGTAGAATTGGGGAAGAACAAGAACAGAATGGCCGGCGGCCAGAATAGGTTGAGAAGAGAATTTGAGAGGATTAGGATAGATTAGGGTTGGGAGTGATAATTTGATAATTCTTTCTTGATTGATTCTGAATAAGCCCCCAAAGTACATATTTATAGCGAAATACTAGAAAAACCTAATAAACTATCCTTATATGACCCAAAGACTACTAACCATATCTAACAATATCCTAATTATAGTAATTATGATAAATATGACAGAACCTAAAAATTAGGTTTCTATCACCATCATTGATGATATTCAACATTTCTTCATCCATATGGATGCTGTCCATTTTGTCAAGATGGTAAGGTGGGTTGTCATCATCATCAGAGTTGTCATCTCCCACTTCTAATATATCCGGATCATTATCGGAGAACCCGACATCATCGGAGAACCCGACATCACCTGTTGCACGTCCTTTTCCAAAAACGCCCCTAGATCAAAGAACTGAGGGAATGGGACGCGTTTATATGTTTTGCGGTCAACATGTGACTGCAATATATGTATGTTCAATAACCAAGCAAACAAAAGAAGTTTAGGTATCTGAAGTGAATGTTAGAGTAAGGTAGGTAAGCAATTAAATGATAATCTGCCTCACCCGAACAAATATAATTCTCAACTAACCATTTTAAACTGCTAACCTAACAAATTCAGAGGTGAATGAGGTAGTAAGATAGGTAACAATACCTTCAGAAAGTGGTCCCACACATCTTCAGGTGCATCTAGATAGAAGTGCTCCTCGTTCCACCCAAAACCACTTTGCTGCCGCATCATCAGAGTTGAATGGTACTAGTGCACATTCTATAATAATACATTATATTTTCTTAGATTTCGTTTTTTATTTTTTTCTATTTTTTAGTATTGATTCAATTAACTTATAATTATATTTTATAAATTTTACTTGACTTACAACATAAATTCAACTATTTTAAAATATGATTACTATCAATAAAATGTTTTTGTGTTCATAAATGAGATAATTCTTGTTAGAATATGCAATTAACTACAATTAATAGCTATTAATTTTCTTGATTTGTAATATTGATATTCAGTTAATTTTATGCAAACTTTATGGCTCATAATTATAGAATTATTTAAAAATAATGTAACTCACTAAAATTGCCAAACACCTAAACCCACTCGCCACCCGCTATTATCCACCCACAATGATACAACTGGGTGGATGTGGATTATTTTTCATCACCCACCATAACAATGGGTGGGAGGATTTGAACCAAAAACCACATAACCCACCCATTGTTCATCCCTACTCATTGCCAAAATATAGAATATTTTAGTGTCAGCCATCCTCGCCATGTGAAAATATAATATAATATATTACAAAGCCATTAAACTTATATGATATATACTAAGTTGTTCCAGTTCATGACTTCGATAGTGGACAACAATATCAGGAGAAAATGTTTGCTCCCCTATATCATCAACAATTAAAGCAACAACCTCATGAAGATGACAGATCACATTCTCTACCATCACATTCTCTTTAGAAAGCAACTTAATTTAAACGTGTGAAACAGTGGTGTCATTTAATCTATCCCTCTTAGGTTGAAATGTCTTTACTAAAAATATTACTTGAATTTAATGTCTCATATGATTGTTGAATAGTTGAATCACACCAAAGAATTTGAAACTAGATCTATGGAGAAAAAAACCTAACCAATTTTTCAGTTCATTGCAGTGTCATAGATGTAGAGTTGAGCAAGTTTTGGTATGTTTATGTTTTCGTCAATAAGTAATATGCTACTGATCGATGATGTACTTAACTCCAACCGAATAAACATATACTTCATGTTCATTTAGAGATCTACCCAATTTACCTCCAATAGAAGTTAGTGCAAATACCTCATAGCCTCAAACATGTTCCATAAAGTGACGTCTTGTTGAAGTATTTGCCTGTATTAGCATATTCAAAACTTTGGTCGATTTAAATTTTTCGTGGGCTTCATACCAATGCAGCCAAACTCGCATTTTAAAACTTAAAAGCTTATGCTTTTACATTTTTAGGTCACCAAAATACTTCTACATAGAATCACTATTTTCACATATAAGAATCACTATTTTCACATATAATTATAGTCAAAATGTACATTTTTATGCTTTTAGATAACCAAAACACTTCTACATAGAATCGTGATTTTGAATGTATTGTTTTATATTTTCACCTTTCCACATCATCGCTCCACAATAATTGTACAATGAGTTTCGGTTATCAAACACTTCAACAACTGCAATAAAATTAAAATTCCAATTTAAGAAATACATTTGATAAAAAATCTAACATAAAAATAAATGATGAAAACTCAAATGTTTTTAATATCAATAAACCGAAAAAGTCTTCAGAACACATCACTTGAAGACGCGTATAACGAATTTTGGCAAATTTGATGACCTTTATAATCTATTTTTCTTAGTTTGTAAATTAATATGTCATTTGAAGTCTTGTATCGGAATCCATATCCCAAGATGGACCTTCCCAAATTCCATGTCATTAAGCCTATGCAAAGCTCCAAAGATCCATGTCAATTCTAACTATGTGTTGTTTGCTTTCTATTTCATAGTAGATTAACAGGCTAGAGAATATTGTAACGAAGAGAATTTTAGACCCATCCTGATAAGCACAACTGTTGATTAACCAAGTATCTCTAATCATGTGTTATTTAAATTTTATTTCATAGTCGATAAAAAAGTTAGAGAACCCTGTAACGGAGAAAATTTTAGACTCGTCTATCAGTCAAATGAATTACATCGATAGTATAAAAAATATGCACACTATTTGATGAATCAACCACCCCTAACCTTGTGTTGTTTTAATTCGGTTTCATTGTCCATTATCATGAAACTGATGGCTAAAGCCACGTATCAACATTCCCATAATTCAATTCTCTTAATACACAACTGTTGGGGGTGTTACTAAATACTCCACGCGCGGACTAAATAAGGGCGCGCTCAATCGGTAACGTGCTCCGGACGAATGCCACTACGAAGTATTTAAAGGCATGAAACTCCCCATTGAGGGGGACTTCTCCTCTCTCCTCACTTTCCACTTTCTACTATCTCTCTACACTTTATCTCTCTATCTATTCTCTCAACTCTCTCCACAAACTTACACTAACTTGATCGTCGGAGCTTAATCCGGGGGGCAACCCCGGCACTTTTCACAAGTTTCTTCCCTCCCGACGAGATCAGACGAACGGATCATGAGTCAACCGCACACCAACAATCATTATTGTTCATACCTCGAGCTAGTAGGTTCAAACAACAACAATTATTGTATAATCTCTACTAAGATAATATATTACAAATACCTGTGAAGGGATGAATGCGTTAGAGCATTCACATCAATGTAATTGTAAAATCAGTTGTATATGTTGTCTCTATTATCACCTCATAATTTATACAATGTCACTCATGTTAATTTCATATGGTGTGAAAAGTATAGGATGCATTGTTTTTCAAGGATAAAAATACCGTACCTTACTATTGATTCGACCAGAAAAATCTCCTATCAGAAGCAAAATCGATAGACGGTATTTAGCGGTATGAAAAAGTTGAACAAAATTAATTATGGTTTCAGCAAAAAAAATACCCTACTCTTAACTTTTCCGATACAATTTCCGTTGTGGTTTTTCAATTCTTAATTTATTTGGTAGACCCACGTATGTGCCTACAACCCCAAAGAAAACAAGCCAAACAATCCAAGCCCACACATATACCCCAAGAGACCGGTTTTAATTAAAACTAAAAAGACCAAAATGGTCTTCCGTACTATGTGGAGGATTAATGAAAAAGAGAATTAGGAGGGTGTGGGAGGAGAACGTCCATGTATTAGTTGTTTGATTAGATGTTAGAAACATGATGTAAAGCTGTTGTCCATAACTAAACTTCATCAATAGGAAATCAGCGGGAGAAATAGAACTATCCTGTGGACTAGTTGGTTAATTGGGCACAAATGGTTGAACCATCAAATTACGACGAGTGGGTTCTTGTAATGACCGACGCCCTTGTTACTAAAGACAAGGTCATTTTTTTGATGGTTCGCTTCCACATTTGCATGATGGTTCACAACAATCCCTCACCTGGACGCATTGTAACGCCCTCGTTAAGGACTGGTTGCGAACCACAATGGATCTTCAATACCATTTTACCAAATGTATCTGGATGCGAGTGTATGAGTTATGAAATAATGTGATTCTTCTTCAATAGCAGAAGCATTTTGTTTCTAGTTTCATATAAAACTGCACAAAATTTGGGAGGAGACACAGTCAATTATGTCATCGCAATGTGCTTGTGTGGCGTCGATGTCGCAATCAGAATGAAATCTTACAGCTACTTGATTTCTTGATGGAGTTGAATGAGTCATTTTCAATGGTTCTTAGTCATATTCTTTCCATGTAAGTCCAACTGTTTCCTCCCGAGGCATTCAGAATTATCTATAACGATGAGCAACAACAAACCCTTACCTAAAATTGAAAACATGTTCCTAAATCAGCGATGTTCGCGACAGGTGGTGAAGCAGACAACCCGCATATGGAGCTTGCAATACAGACGAGTGTGGTAGAGGTGAGAGGGAGTGACTTTGTTGTACTCACAACCTCAAACCTCGGCATCTTTCGAAGACATGCTACAATCTCAATTGATGGCCTCCAAGGGACAAATAAGGCGACAAATCGAATCTTCGTAGAGGCCACGAGTTAGGGGAAAAGAATGGGCTCGACAATTGTTCATCCCGCAGTAGTAGCCGCGAGCCCAGAGCTTCCCAAGCACAGACCTGGTCAACTCTAGTATACAAGTTTTCTATACAACAATTGAAAAAGTTGATAAAGTTCTTCGGTGGGTAGGTTGAAGATGTCATAGACCCTATAAGTCACGCAAATAGTACATTTTCCTTTTCTAATGAACCTGAGTGGCTTATTGACTTGGGATGCAGCGAGCATATAGCCATGGATGGTAATTTCTTGAGTTCACATATTTGTAGTTTGCCTAGCCTACCTGTTCATATTCCAAATGGAGCCAACATTCTGATTAAGCAAATAGGAATTATCCACCTCAGTGATGAAATGGTTCTTGGCTGAGTATTGTATGTTCCATAATTTCGCCGCAATCTTTTTTCAGTAAGCAAACTTTTCCAAGAGCATCACGTTGATTAAAATTTTCTGAGTGATTTTTGCATTATACAATACTTACTCTCCTGGAATGTGATTGGGAATGGTAAGATTCATGATGGTCTGTATTTTCGCGGTTATTTTGTTGCCATAGAGCTTGCGATGGAACCCCGATGTAGAGGGTCGGGTGGGGGCGGCCGATTGGGTCGGGTAGCATAACGGCATTATTATTATTTTCTCATTCGCGACTAGACTCCTATTCAAAGAGTTGCGCCTTATTTTTTAGAATCAATCAAGAAAAATTAAACCAAAATCCCTAATCTTCTTCTCTCTCAATTCTTTCCCAATTCTCCTAAATCCCTAATTTCTTCCTCTCAAATTCCTAATTCCCAATTGGGAACTTCTTGAATCTATCATCTTGGTATCAGATACCCCATTGAGTACATCATGACTCACCGTTAAGGAACTGCTGGACCAGCTGGAGGCGACTCTCGAAGCCATATGGGCCAAGAAGTCGGCGGTGGTTGGCGGCTCAACGGCTGCCCTGACAGTAGTTCTGGCAGACGTGTGACCTAAGGCAAGGCCAGAAGCAACCGTCTCCGCGGCATTGGCAGCAATAAAGGAGGAAATTTGAGCGAATGTGGATTTCCACATCGCGAATGAAGCGGACGAACAAACAACCACCGTCGAGGAGGAGGAAGCGGAGGAGTGTCCTGGGGCAGATCGCGAGTCCCCGCAGGCGATGCTGGTGTTGATGTCAATGACAAGACAAGCACCACCGGCGACATTGCGATTCTGCGCGTGAGTGGTCGGGCAACCGACTATGACGCTGGTAGACACCGGTGCCTCGCTGAACTTCGTGGGGAAGGTTTCGCTCAAACTCTTTTCGGAGAGACGAATTTTTCAAACCAATAGATGTAAGGATCGGTAATGGTACCTCCTTGAGATGTGACGGGATCTATGAGGACGTCACTATCGAAATCCAAGGTCTCCAGGTAACGATCGGCCTATATGTGCTACCACATCAAGGGTTTGACATTATTTTGGGCTTGCCGTGGTTAAGAAGTTTAGGACCGATCACAAGTGATTCGGTCCAGTTGACCATGAGATTCAAATGGCGCGACAAAGAGTGGACTCTGCAAGGTCTTACCACGACTTTGGGGGAGATTTCCATCAAGGACTGCATGCCGAGACGGGACACAAATGTGATGGTAATGTGTTGGCCGACGATGGAAGAAGGAGAGAAGGGGGGGGGGTGGACCCCGACCAGTAGGACCTCCTCGATCGGTTTCCTGAAAAATTGGAGAAGCCTGTGTCTCTGCCCCCACATCGCCAAGTAGATCATGTGATCAAGTTTTAGGAGGGGACGGAATTAGTGAATGTGAGACCATATAGATACGATCAGTGCAGTCAAAATCGCGCAGTAAGACGTAAAAACTTAAGTTTTTACGTATTTAGGCCACCAAAACGTTTCAGTTTCTTTCTAAAGTCGCTTAGTCACAAAAACTGGTAAAAGCATGGGTAAAATCGGTAAAATCGCTTAAAATTGGTAAAATCACGATTCTGAAGCGTTTTTACACGATTTTGATCATCTCATAAAATTGTGCTAATTGGAGACATATCAACAAAAAATAAAAAAAGGAAAACATGATTCATCACTCGTTCTACAACTAGTGTCGAGATAGAGGCTTCACATTAGGTTGAAAAGACACCTAATGGTATTCTCAATAGCCGCTGACCTTCTATCAGTCTGCTCCCTTAATCTTCACTTGTGGCTCTTACCTGGGTTACGATAAAAGTTTATGGGTAATTGATCGTATGTAATCATTAAACTCAAACCAGATTATGAGAATTTGGATTCTAAAGCTCGTTTACAGGTTACGATCTATGTTTTGAGCTTATTATTAAGATGTTATGAGTTTTCTCTACTTTTGAGTCAACACAAATTAGTTTATGTGTTAGATATTACATTTTAATAATGAATTTCATGTAGTTATTCACTTATCTAAAATCTATACACTAACATTTTACATACTATATATTATACTTAACATATTTTAACGATTTTAGAGGGTGCGTCAAAAACTTACGCTTTTACGCTTTGATTCTACGTTTTACGATTTTCCCATTTTCCGCTTCTAGTTAGAATCACGCTTTTAACTACATTGGATACGATCATGCACATAGAGCAGAGATCGAGAAGCAGGTGGCGCAGATGCTTGAGACCGGGCTCATTTGACCCAACATTACTACCTTCTTGTCATCCGTTGATGACTTGATATATACACATGTTTTTGTCCACCATTCTTGTACCGTTTGAGTCTTATTTCTCGTGTTTTAGGCCGATTTCACGCTAGGTTATTCTTCTTTGTGATATTTCAGGTCCTAGTACGTGAATGCAGGTTTTGGAACGGGTTCGGGGTCGATTGGACGAAGATTGCACGTTTGGCGAGAAGCTGAGGAACTCACACTGGCACGCCTAGAATTCCACACGGCGTGTGACTTGGTCGTGTGGCACCACTTTGCACGGGCAAGCCACCCCTTGTGGCCGTGTGGATAGTCCAGGGAGCTCACACGGCCAGACTTGAAATCCACACGGCCGTGTGCCTCTGGCCGTGCAGCGTGCCTGAAGTCCACTAATCAAAACGCGGTGTTTTGACATCCACACGGGCATACTGGAAAGCCACACGGCCGTGTGGCCTGGCCGTGTGGTAGGGAAATTCTTGGTTTTAACCCAATTTCGAGCCAAAGGAAAGGGAGAGCTGGGTTTTGGATCCCAAACACCCAAGGGTGAACCAAAGAGAGAGAGGGCGATTTGAGGGCATTATAAGAGTGGAATTGGAGGATTCCCTTGCCTTGGAAGCTCGAGGAACAAGCCCAGACTTGAAGACTGATTATCTGAAGATTCTTACTGCAGTCTCTCTCTTCTCTATGGAGTAACTTCCCTTCACTTAGGTTTTGAGGAACCCTAGCTATGTTTGTTTGATTAGATGATTGTATGAGTACTCTTACTTGATAATCTTGAGTTCATATTCAATCTATGCATGTTTTCATGATTCAATTCTGCTTTAGTCGAGATTATTAATTCTGCTTTGATCCTATGAGAGTGAATACCTGATTAGGTCAATAGAGCACCATATATTGATAGTATTGGATCGATTGCTTTAGTCGAGGGTTGATGCAATGCTTTGTATCCGATTGAGAACCTCATTCGATAGAGGGAATCTAGTTTAGAACGCCTTGATCGGTTGTTCTAGAGAAGGATATGTCCCTCTAGGCAATTGACTCAAGAGGGTCTTGATCCTTTAGTCGAGATTCAAGGTTTAGTCAAGGATTCTCCGGATTGTGAATGAAAGTGAAGCAAGTTAGAGATCATCAATCATTAATCTGGCTAGTGGCTAGGGGGAATCATACCTAAGTGAGTTCCCAACCTGTAATTAGATTAACTTTAACTGTAGTTTGTTAGAGTAGTTTTAGTTCGTCCATCTTAATCTGGTTTGCTAGATTATGAACTGACGCTGAGTAATAGTAACTCTAGAGACCCGTGGATTCGATATTTATTACTTGAGCCACTATACTGAAGTCCCTTTCATTGGTTACACTTGGCCATTGTTAGGAGTTGTGTCATAGCGAGCCAAGTTTTTGGCGCCGTTGCCGGGGACTTTCTAGATTATTAGGAAAGGCAAAATTTTGTTATTTTAGCGTTTTTCTTTTCTTTTCCACCCTTGCTTTTCACTTGGGTGTTTTTGTTTTTGTTGGTGCAGATCTGAATCATGGATCCTCATGGCTTCTCCAACCATTGGGGGTATCCACCACCATCCGAGTGGTATTACCCCAAGACTCCCTGGAGCAATCAAGGAGGAGAAGACTATGGATTCGGGTTCCAGCACCAACCCTCTTACTATGGAGAACAACCGGACCCCTGGGCATATCAAGAACAACCTCCTTATCAAGAAGAATTTCTCCCACAACCAGAAGGGCCATCGGAGCTGGAGTTACCCATGGTGGCCTTCACGGGCCATTCCGTAGAGCCATGCTACACTCCACAGCCAGATCCAAACTATGAATTGAGGCTTCTCATGGAGCAGTTTGCTCGAGACAGTGAGAGATCATGCTCCAGGATGGATCTTTGTACCCAGGCCTATCGTGAAACAGAAGAGATCCTCTTGAGAATTAAGAAGAGCCTTGATGATCTTAAGAAATCTTATGCACAGCCTGATCAGGATCACCCTTTGTCTACTATACTAGAAGAGGAGGAGGAAGAAGGCTACGAAGACATTGTGGAGCACACAGAAGTTGTCACTGAGAGATCCCGTGATGATCATGATCAGGAATGTCCTGTCGTAGTCGACCACACCTTCCCACATCCCACACTGAGCTTTGAAGAGGCGGGCATGAGTGAGGATATGCAAGAAGATCTCATCAAAGAAATTGCTTGGCGACTTGCCCTTCAATTCGTGCTGGAAGAAGAAGTGGAAGAAAGGGTGCAGGAAGAAGATGTGGAGGATGACGAAAGTAAAGCAGATGGATTTCTTGATAATTTCCCAGGGGTGATACCACATGAAGAAAGAAGGGGGGTTGAAGAAGCAATTGGCATCCAGGCCGAGGACGAAGTTGAGGTGGAAGAGGCTTGCAACGGCCATGAGTTACATGTGATATCTCCACCAAACTTCGATGAACTGCTTAGCAAGGACCCATTTGCAGTGTCTCTTTGCTAGACCAAGGTCACATCGACATCGGTCCCTCTTGGTGGACGTGATGGTGGTCAATCGATGTTGTCATATCTGGTTTGGGGCAATGAGACGAGAGAAGAGAATAAGAGGTCTCGAGGGTGGAGACTTCATCTGCACAAGTGCACGAGCTTCCATCACTTGTCATACCACATGCTCGTGACTTGAGACTCCACCTCATTGACGAGAACCTCAACTTCAAGGAGGTTTTGGGGTGGACCGAAACTTAGGAGCCATCGTCCGGCTCACGACGTGAAAGAAACGCTTGTTGGGAGGCAACCCAACCAGTCGGTTTGCATTTCTTTCTCTTTTCCACCTCGGTTGAGTCAGTTTTGTTCTTTGATTTTAGATTCAATAACTCAACCTTTGTGAGATTTTGTGTGGTGTTTGTGTTCTGACTACTCTCTCCTCCTGGAATACACCGCCTGCCCGTCCACCATCATTCACCCTTGATCTGGTAACTTCGTTCTACCCTCCTTATCTTTCCTCCATTGAGGACAATGTCATGCTTAAGTGTGGGGGGGGGGGGGGTGTTCGATTATTTATGCGACTGAATGTTTGGTTGTTTGTGTGCTTGGAGCCTAGTCCACTATCCAAATTTTTGAATTTGAAGGCTCCAAGTACGTGTTTCCTTGCAAATTGTCTGCTCAGTATGCTTTCAATTGACAGTCTCTATAGTAATGTGCAACCTAGGGAGGTAGTGTAGCACTATGGAGGATGTTGAAGTATAAGATTTTTCCTATCTAGCTCTCTGCTGAGCCAGTTGATTTTGTGAATTAGTGGAGCTAAGACCGTTGAATTCACGTGGTAGTGGTAACTCTGTTTGGATTGTGTTATGAACTCGTGTATCGAACAGGGTGCTCATGTGGGAAATGAAAAGCAGTTGGTCCTCCGTGTCGAAATCATTGAAACCTTAAACATGGGGTAAGCCCAACTTGGGTGGCACCGTTCATTGCGCAAAATCGGGTTTTGGAAGAGATTTTAGTGATCCTTAGTGGGGTACTCCTACAAGGTAAAGTTAAGCTGTCTCTAGTACAAGTAAAATTTTCACTCGTTGAACGGTTTGCCTACTCGAAGATGTGTTTTTAAGGGCACGGATAGAGCTTCCGACCCCCCATAATTTCATTGACCTTCCACACGAGTTGAGGAAAAGGAGTTAAAAGAAGTACTCTGGCGAGCACCAGATTTACAGAAATTGCTTTTGCTCGACTAATAAGGGTCGACCGTGCAAAAGACTGCAGTTGGAACCCCCGCTAAGTGAACGAAGAAAAAAAAAAGGAATGTAAAACGAAAGTGAAAAAAGGGGTTCCAACGGTGAAATGAAGTGAAAGAGCACCCAGGTACAATGAGTCCTTGGTTGTGAATGGGGTGAGTCCCTTTATCTATGAACTGGTTGTCTTACTTCTACTTCTTCTCATGATCCTGGCTTAAGTCTAGTACTCGCATTGAGAGAGATAGGGGACGTCTTAGAAGACCAGGTGGGAGCCTCGTTTCCTGACATAATAGATTGAAACCCTTGCAAAAAAAAAAAAAAATCAAACCCACTTATGGGGTTAGCAAGATAACCGATACCTGCTTCTTATGGTGTGAGTTGGGCTTGTTGAGTTGAGTTTGAAGAGTTCGTTTACAAGCTATAATCGTGTTGAGATTGAGTTCGTATTTTTCTTGTTGAGTAGAGTTTGAGCTTGATCTTGAAAAATGGGCTAATTGGTTGTTCTCTTCTAGGTCCAAGTTTTTTGCTTCTCATGGTGTGAGTTGGGCTTGTTTAGTTGGGTTTGGAGGGTCGGTTCGCAAGCTATAATTATGTTGAGCTCGAGCTCATATTTTTCTTCTCGAGTTGTTTTCGAGTTTGATTTTTGTATCTCGTATCACAGCTTAAGTCAAGCTCGAACTGATGAATTTTCTGTTTCGGCTTGAGTTCGATCCCGAAAATGTCAATAAAAAAACATAATTAGTTTACCATTGCCAAAGTCACGAATACATAAACAAATAATTAACTAATGGAGAAGTGCCTGGATATAAGGATATATATTCAATCTTCATAATGTAAGTCTGGCCTTGGATCTTGCAAATTAGGACGCAAACACCGAAGCAAACCATTTAATGACAACGTTCCATTGCACATTCAATTAACCTTCTTCTCGACTGACATGGCGCTTGCCTTCTTCTCGACCGGAGAGCTGCCTCCCGCAGTCACCGACTCGACCCTGGTTCTCATCCCTAAGGTGGAGGTCCCGGAGAAAGTTACTCACCTCAGGCCTATCTCTCTCAACAATGTGTCTCTCAAGGCCATTACGAAAGCTATGACTAGCAGATTGAAGCCGGTTATGAGGAAACTAGTCTCTCCCCGGCAGAGCAGCTTCATTCCGGGAAGACAAACGGCCGACAACATATTAGTCGTTCAGGAGGTTCTACATTCTTTCAGGAAAAAAAGAGGCAAGAAGGGAGGTTTGGTGTTCAAGATCGATCTAGAGAAGGCGTATGATAGATTGAGGTGGGATTTCCTAAGAGACACTCTGAAGGAAGTCGGCCTTCCCAGCTCTTGGATTAGTTGCATCATGTACTGTGTGGAGCAAAACAGGATGCGGGTCCTGTGGAATGGGGAGCTATCTCAGCCTATTTGCCCGTCTCGTGGAGTTAGACAGGGAGACCCTCTTTCCCCTTATCTCTTTGTTTTGTGTATGGAGCGTTTATCGCATAGAATTGATCTTGCTGTTAGAGATGGACTGTGGAAGCCGGTTAAGCTCTCTGCGAATGGCCCTCCACTGACGCATCTTTTCTTTGCAGATGATCTCCTCCTGTTCGCGGAAGCAGAAAGTCACCAGATTACTGCAATTAGGCAATGCCTGGAGGACTTCTGCCTCAGCTCGGGGCAGCAGGTCAACTACAACAAGTCCATTTTATATGTTTCCCCCAACATTAGCCGCCGGAAAGCTAGCCAGCTGAGTCGGAGGGCGGGTATCCCTCTTAAAGCGGCTCTAGGGAGGTATCTTGGGATTCAGGCGATTCAGGAGAGAGTGACAAAAGAGCGATACCAATCTATCATTCTCCGCATCCAAAAGAGGATGGCTCCTTGGAAAGCTAAGCGTCTCTCTTTTGCAGCCCGTCTCACTTTAACTCAGTCTGTTTCTGCTTCTTTGCCTGTTTACAACATGCAGACGGAGCTCATCCCCATGGGAGTTTGCAAATCTATTGATAAGCTCAATAGAGATTTTATATGGAGTGACGAGGAAGAGAAAGCGAAGATGCATCTGGTGTCGTGGGAGAAGATGACAATGCCGAAAAAGCAAGGGGGTGTGGGCATCCGCTCCACTAGACAGGCCAATCTGGCGATGCTGGCCAAGTGCGGATGGAGACTCCTTCAGGACAAGGACAGCATCTGGACTCAGGTGATGAAAGCAAAATATGGTCGCCATCGTCAAGAGCTGGATATGATTCGTCCAATTCAGGGAAGTTCCTTTACTTGGGCAAGCATTGCTAAAGTAGCTAGTCTACTTAAGAAAGGGTGTGCGTGGAATATTAAAAGTGGCAGGAAAACTCATTTCTGGCTTGACTGTTGGGTTTCGCAGGTTCCTCTCCGGGAGCTGGCTGTCGACAACGTCCCGCCGGAACTGGAAGGAGTCAAGGTAGCGGATATGGTGGGTGAAGATGGCTGCTGGAAGACAGAGCTCTTTGTGAACCTTCTGCCCGAGGAAGTGACCCAAAGGATTCTGAGCGTGGCGGTGGACAGTGCTTCTGATGAGGAAGATCAATTGTTTTGGACGGCCTCTTCAGATGGGAGATTCACCACCAAGTCAGCCTTCAGTCTCCTAATTCAGCACCAACCGGACCAAGACGAGGGCATTTGGAAGATTATTTGGAAGCTACCCACCCTGGAGCGAGTTCGATGTTTCATGTGGCAAGCTTTCCTTGATAGGCTCGCTACTAATGTTCTCCGCTACAGCAGGAGGGTGGCGGATAGCCCTGACTGTGAGAGATGCGCTGGTCAGCCGGAGTCCGTTCTGCACATTCTCAGGGACTGCACCCCGGCCTTGTTTTTCTGGTCCCGTCACGTTCCTCTACACCAGCAAGCATCCTTCTTCAGCTGCAATCAGCGGGAGTGGCTTAGTATGAACCTCAAGAGTGGTGATTCTGTAGGAAATGGTGTTGAATGGCCGGGTTTCTTTAGCACTGCAGCGTGGCTCATTTGGAAGAACCGTACGACGGCGTGCTTCAAGGGGATCGGGGCGGCAATGACACCGCCAACCTTGGAGTTCTCTATCCTCACCAAAACTAAGCTCTGGTATGATTCTTGGAACTCTTCCGACCTTGGTTTGGACAGTAGGAGCAGGCCGGCGAGGCGCGTCCTAGCAGACATTGGCTGGGGAGGACCGGAGAGCGGCTGGGTCACTATGAATATTGATGGTGCCTCGAACGGCAACCCGGGACCTGCAGGCGCGGGGGGACTCTTACGTGATGGGACTGGGAAGTGGTTGAAAGGTTTTGTGGCTAGTTTGGGCACTGCCACAGCAGTGTTGGCGGAGCTATGGGCGTTCAGCCATGGTTTGGATCTAGCATGGAAGGAAGGTCACAGGGCAATCAAAATTGAAACTGACTCTCAGCTAGCCATTCAGCTCATTGAGAGAAGACACGATCCGATTCACCCTCATGCTACCCTCTTGGCAGGTATTCGAAAGAGGATTAGTCGCGAGTGGTTGATTCGCATTGTTCATACATACAGGGAAGGGAATAGAGCCGCGGACTGGCTCTCGAAGCACAGTCTCGTCTATCCCTACGGTGTGTATGAGCTTGCGGAACCACCTAACGGGCTAAAGCAAGTGCTCAGAGATGATATGTTAGGAGCTACTTTTCAACGTCGCATTGTAACTCCTCCTTCCTCCATCCCCTAGTCTGCCTCTGTAACTCTTTCTCTTGCTCGGCTGCGGCCTCCTCTCAATGCAAAAAAAAAAAATTAACCTTCTTTCTACCAAAAAAAAAAAAAAAAACCTTCCCCTTCTTTAGCTGCAGCCTGCAAGTCGTCGTGACTCGTGAGCCTGTCCCAGGCAGGCAGCCATATTCAACTCTGTAAATAACTTGCCCAAGAACTCCACCTTCAATGTTTACTAACCCAAAGAGGAAAAGATTATAAAAGATATCGCATCTTTTTCACAGACTTCCCAATTTGCGCCACTACCCTGATTTGCTTTCCCCTGCTACGCCTATCAAGTCCCGTTCTTTCTCCTCCATCTCCACGGATTTCACCCTCCATCCCTGACAAGCTGTTCGCCCATCGCCGCGTGAAATCTTTGGAGGGTAAATTAAGGGCAAATTTGCTCATCTCAACACGCTTTGAATCCTTCCCTCCCCCAGATTACGTCAATTGGGAAAAGAAAAGCTCATTAAACAAACACTTCCCTCCTGGCACCTGCCAGTCGAATCACGCCAAGAATCAATCAACCTTGCTCATTCTTTCAGAAAGCAATAAAGAACACAAAGTCGCTCACTCTCGCATTTCCTGATTTTGAAGCTTCTCCTTCTTCCGGGTTCTCGCCTGCAAAGCAGCTGTTGAAAGAGGCGGGTGGAACTTCGTGACGGTATCAGTTTTTTTTGTTTAATCGCGCCCTTGTTCCTGCATTGCTTCGATCTATCGTTGTCGGTGGGGTGGTGTTCTTTGTCTTTCTCTGCCGTTACATTTGTGGGGGAGTAGGGAGTGAATTCAAGATCTAATGATGGTCTGGGTCATTTTATAACGTCTTGGGGGTGTTTGCGAGCTTATAAGTACATGGAAATGGAGGTTAATGGGGAAGGTTCATCGGGCGGGGGCTCCAGTTCGGATCAGTTACAGAAAGAGGGATCTGAAGTTACCCATGTCCAGAAACTTCAGCTGGATGCATCTCAGCACGAGTTTCATCCGATGAATGCACTGGAGATCCTGAGAGAAACAGTGAGGATTCTCCGGTTCAATGCTGCATCTTTTATGCTCATCGCTACTTTCCTCGTTTGCCCAATTTCCGCCCTACTCTTGTCCAATGTGTTGGTTGATCAATCCGTTGTGAAGAGACTTACCATTAGGTTGACGTTGGTTGCCAAGTCCAGTGGCCTTCCGTTGAAGCCTTTGATCAAACACTCGTGTCACCGTTTAGCCGAGATGGTTGTCTCATCAGCAATGTGCTTCCCTTTCTTTCTCACTTTCTCTTTATCATCCAAAGCTGCTGTAGTTTACTCAGTGGACTGCACTTATTCGAGGAAAGAAGTTGATGTCTCCAAGCTATTGGCGATAATTTGCAAAATCTGGAAGAGGGTCGCTTCAACATATGTATGGTCAAGTATGGTGATCTGTGGCTGTGTCACATTATTCGTTGTTCTTCTACTAGCACTATGCAGTACGTTTTCAGCATTTGGTCTTTGGGCAGAGTTGAATCTCTATGCTGCAATGTTGGTAGGGCTTGGTTTCTCGGTTGTTTTCGCCAATGCAATCATAATCTGCAACATTGCTGTTGTCATCTCCGTGCTGGAGGATGTTTCAGGCCTGCAGGCATTGCTTCGGTCAAGTAATTTGATCCGGGGCCAGACTCAAGTCGGGCTTCTGATATATCTCGGATCGACAATCGGTACAGCTTTTGTGGAAGGTTTGTTTGAGCATAGAGTGAAGACATTGAGTTATGGAGATGGGTCTTCCAGAATATGGGAAGGCCCTCTTCTGGTGATCATGTACTCATTTGTGGTACTTGTTGACATGATGATGAGTGCAGTTTTCTACTATAGTTGTAAATCGTATAGGCTGGAGGCTGCAGAGGAATGCCAGTCGATGCTAGAGACCATCACTGTCTCCCCTGATTCGGTTGAAGTTCAGCAACATGGTGGAGCTTTCTCGAGTTTGATAAAGGAGAAAACAACAACACTTTCTGAAGAGTAGGAGAGAGCGGTTCGGATGTTTACTTTCTGTGGAACTTCTGATTCTGCAGCGGATGGCTCAGTGTTCTTCTGTTGAAACGGAAGTAATTCAGTGAGCGGCGTGGCAGCAAGCTATAAGAAAAGGAAACTGTAGAACTTGGATGGAGTTTTTAGACTGAGGATGTGAACAGAAGCTGCTGGAGGTGAAGTCCAATTTTTCTGTTTCTCCTCAACTTTGCATATAATGTTGTATTGTTGTCTCACATGGTAGAGAGAATTCAGTTTCGGGAGGTGATTTTTGTGTTGTACTTCATCGGAAGATGGTTGTTCCCAGTTTAGGTTGAGAGAAGATTATACAGCATACGTCTGTGAATCGAAACTGAAAATGATTCATTCACTTACATCAGGCATCTGTAATTCTTTGTTGTTTCATAGTTAGTCTTTCCATCAATGAATCACCATTGTTCTGAAAGGCCTGTCTCTGAGTTTTTGTATTCTGTACTCCCCCATACAGCTAGTTTTTCCAGTGCCGATGTCTTTGAGAATTGTTTCAATGTACTTGTTCGTAGTATTATGATCTCAGATGGTAGAGAGAATTCAGTCCGGAGAGGTGAATTGTTTGTTCCGTACTCCATCACATACTACATCGAAAGATGGTTGCTCCCAGTTTAGGTCCAGAGAGAAGATTATACAGCATATATATGTGAATCGAAACTGAAAATGCTCCATTCACTTACATCAGTCATCTGTAATTTTTTGTTGTTTCATATGGTAGTCTTTCCATCAATGAATCACCATTGTTCTGTAAGGCATGTCTCTTGTGTTTTTGTTTTCTGCACTCTCCATACAGGATACAGCTAGTTTGTCCAATGCCTTTGGTCTTTGAAAAGTGTTTCAAGGTACTTGTTCTTAGTATTATGATCTCACAGTATCAGATTTCTGGTTCCAGTACGATCAATCCCAGATTACTTCCCTTCTGTCAATTCCATTGAGCTGGATGCTAAATTACAGATGCTGAAGAACCACAATAAGGATTCATATGATACTTCACGCGGAACATGAAGTGCACGTTTCTGCCTGAGTATCTTCTATAATGCTTTGATCTGTTACCTGCAACTGCAGCTAGCTGCTTCAGCCATAGATGACATGCTAACATAGCTAAAAGTAAAATACTAATGTGCAGGAAGATTTTGAATGATCCTGTGTAGATACTGGAAACTGGATAGGCAAGATAGGGATCACCTTGACGGAAATGAATGGATGGTGGACGGAAAAGGATTAAATTAGAAAGTATCATTAGTTTTGGACTACATTAGGAAACCTTTGAAATTTATGAGCTAAAACGTGAATGGATAATTGAAAACTGAAACTGAATGGGCATTGCTATTGGTCGTCCTAAAAATTTGAATTTATCGCCCTAAAACACATGAAATTACACATTTATCCTTAAACCAATTACCATCCTTCGTTCTCAATCCAACCACCGACAACAGCACCTCCCAAGTCCCAACTCCTCTCTCATCGCCGTCATCTGCGGAGGAAGGTGAGGAAGAAGCAATCGGCGACGTCCATATCCTCTTCCTCTTTCACCTGCCACCTCTGCCTAATTATGTACTACTAATTATACCCAGAGGACATCAATAAGCTTGATTTTGTCCTCGTCCCTCTCCCTCAACCCAATTACCACTTCAAATCTGATCTCCTAATTATACTCAGAGGACATGATTAAGCTTGGTTTTCTCCTCGTCCCTCACCGTCACAGCATTGTGACACGGGAATTCCTCCGATCAATTTCAGCTTATGGAGCTGTTCAGGAGCTGCGACGATGAGTTTAGCCGTGTAATCGTTGGTCTGTTTGGCAATTTCGGAGCTTGTGTTAATGGGATTGGCAGGAGTGAGAATCGTGCCGATGGACATGATGGCGATGCAGATTGTTGGGTACAGGATCGAGTTCGGGGACAGGAGAAGCACGACGTCGCCCTTTTGGATTCCAACGGCGGACCGGAGGCCGGTGGCGAGGAATGTGATTGGGGGAGGGGATTCCATTTTTGTTATTATTAAAATCAGGGATAAAATTGTCCATTTGGTATAATTTAGGGCGAAAAAATTTGAATTTTAGAGTGAGGAATAGCGATTTAGTTGCGAAGTTGCCATTCGTAGAATTCAAAATAATTTGCCCTAAATTATAAGAAATTGACTAATTTGACCTTTTCCCAATTTCTAATCCTGATTCAGCAAAACTCACACCCCCTCGTCCCCCAAAACGGCAAAACCCGACCCCTCCCTGCTTCTCTCTTAATTCGCGGAGAATTCCGGCGGCCTGGTTAACTCGCGGAGAAGAAGGGAAGGAGAAGGAAGAAGGAGCAGGAAGAAGATTCTGCCGCCGCTTGCTGCTACTCTGTTCCCGACCCTTAACTCCGGCGGCCTGATTCTGCTCTGAACTCGCGGAGGAGGAGGAAGAAGAGTGTACCGCCACCTGCTGCTGCGGAGAAGAAGAAGAACGGAAGGTGAAGGCCGACCGATCCCGCCACCGACTCGATCTCGCCGGCGTGTTGCTGCTGTTTCTGTTGCTGCAGAAAAGGAGGAAGGAGGAAGGCCCAGGTAATTCCTTTTTTGTGTGTGTGGGATGTTGGCAGGACGGGTTGAAACCCCGTCTCGGCGAGCTTGGGACGAGTTCCCGACCTGTCTTGAGCTAGCAGCCCAATTGCTCGACGAAATGTCTGAATGAAACCTCTTTGTTCTCGTTGTGAACACTTTGCAGGATTTGAATCACTAACGTTCAAACACAGGCAGTTCCGTTGATTTTTTGAAACAATCATCCAACTCGAACGAATTGGTGTTGACAGGACCAGCTTCTGGCTGCGCTAGGTGATACAAGGGTTGCAGTTTTCTCAAGTGGGTTGCTTACCACTATCTCTACAGCAAGATGGAGAAGCGTCAGCAAGAAAAGATTCAGAAATTTGAGGAATTCGTGGACAGCCGCTTGAAACCTGATCTTGTTAGGGCTATCGGTGAACGGTGCTGTGTTTATTTTGCTCTTCGATCTGTTTGCTCTCTCCCCTATTTGTTTGGAGCTTGTCAAGCCCATTTGATCACCTGACGGGGAGTTCTGTTCTTTTTGCATTTACAGGGATAAGGTCTTTGAACAGCAAAAGATTTTGTATCCTTTTCCATAGATGTTTCATTCAAGCTCCGGTTTTCAGATTTTGCTTTTAAATAAGCTGCAGAGTCTTTTCACTTAACTCACTATTTGCTAGCGTGGATTTGCGGAGAAACATTGAGAACTTGGAAAAGAACAGCGTTACCAGTCTTAGGACACTGGTGAACCTTGGGTCTGAAGTTTACGTGCAAGCAGACGTGTAAGTGCTTAATGGCTCTAAACGTTCCTTTCATCCTTCAGTCTGCTACTGCTATGGTACACTGGTTTCATGAGCTCTCTTTTCTTTCTAAGATCAATGTTTTTCTGTCTGTATGTTTCCCAGGCCGGATACCCAGCGCATTTTTGTCGATGTGGGGCTGGGATTCCATGTGGAGTTTACCTGGTCAGAAGCTTTGAACTTTATCTCGCTGAGGGAGGAAAAGATCGCCAGGTCTGTCCTCCTTGGCAAACTTGCAAATTTTGACCAATAGTTCTTTTCAGAACGGCACAATTCAGCTTTAGTAGTTCTTGACACGATCCGGATCTTCTGTAACCAAGATTTCTCTTTCTAAAAGCTGCTTACATTTTTTTTATATCCTGGCGCAGGCAAATAGAGGAGTATACTCTCCAAATCGCATCGATTAAGACCCAGATCAAGCTGGTACGTATTTGTTTAACTTCTCCACTATCTTAGACTGCAACATTATGCAAGATGCCGATGCCTTAATGCTTGCTCTAGTTTGTCTAGGACTTGGCTGTGCTTTTCCTTCAGTGCTGTATTCTAAATACAAGATGAATGACCTTGCCCAACTGTGCCCATTTGGAAAGAGAGAGGAGATTATTAGGCCGGCATTGCCTATTAGTTAAGGGGAATCACCCTATTCTGCAGATAAAAATTTGAAGTGAATCACTGTTTGAAAAACCTGGCCGCCTTACTATGTCTATGTGGCTAATGCAAATCTTTCTGATGATGGCTTTCGGTTCTTTCCGGTCAAACAGGTTTACGAAGGCATCCGAGAATTGATGGAACTTCCGGCGGAGAAACCTCCACCTCAACGTATCTTCTAACCAGGGCCTTTTCCGAGCCTTTAGGACTTTGTATGCACTGCAGATTGCATGTCGCCTTCCCAAAACAGATGAGATTGTTATGAGGACGAGGGACATGCTCTAACCTAAACCAACTAAATACCTATCTGCCCAAATCAGTAGTCTGTGGCGTTCTGTTCTCTTTTTGGTGAACTCGAAACTTGGGTCTTCATACCTGTTTTCTACTGATAGTTATTGACTCGGTATTAGAATAGAGGTGTTGTTTGCTATCTTCCTTGTGCCTAGGGCTGCAAATGAGTCAAGTTACTTATGAGCGGCTCAATGCTCGATTCGGGAAAAACTCGTTAGTAGCTCGACTTGTTAGTAAATGAGTTGAGACCGAGCTCATCATTTTTGGCTCGCAAGCTAGCTCCGCTAAGTGGCTCATTGAGTATGACTAATGAGTTGGCTTGTTTCGAGCTAATGGATTGGCTTGATAGTCTGGTTAGTGAGCATGTTCGAGTAGCGACTTATGAGTGAATCAATATATATATAACTTATGATGTGACTTCTTAACGATTCATACTTTTAATATATTATATTTGTCATAATGTATATGACTTCTTAACGATTCATACTTTTAATATATTATATTTGTCATAATGTATATAATGTTTTAAGACTTTGAGTAGGTGGCCAAATATGTCACAATTATAATTTGAAAGAGAAATTATGTATTAAAAATTGTTAGTTACTAATTAATATTACATAACATTATATGAATTAGTCAAAATTATGAACTAAATTATATTACACCAAGATAATATATAAAGATGAGATCTAGTGATTAAAAATTGACTATTATTCTTTTTCATTAGTCACATGTATCATATAAGCTATAAAATATTATGGTATTCGAGTTATTAATTATTTTAGGTTTAATTAAAAGATTCATTTAAACTTGTAAATGAGTTGAGTTTGTGAGGTGATCAATGAGTCAAGCTCGAACAGATCTCAAGAGCTCCTTAATTAGCCAAGTTCAAGTTTAGACCAAATGGGATCTAGCTCGGCTCATAAAGAAAGAAAAAAACTGAGTTCAAATTTAACAAAACTCTATTCGATTGGGCTCATTTGTAAACCTACTTGACCCTCTTTTCCAACTATTCCCTGAGACAACAAACCTTCATCCCTGCCCCATTTGAAGCCCAATTGATAGAGGGATTCAAACTCTACAACTGAATAGTGTTTTTCTTCCAAAACTCGGCCCAACAAATTGTTGAAAGTCCAAGTTCCAGCCCAACATCCAGGGTTGATGTAGCAGGGAGAAAGTAAAAAACAGAGGTGGGAACTGGGAAGTGGGGAAATGGTAGGGAAGGGAGAGTAGTAAAAGAGAAAGATTCCTTTTAGCAGTTAGTTCATCAGGCCACCTGAACCTGATGTAAGCAAGCAAAGAAAGGTTGAAAAGGTAAAAAGGGGAGGGGATTATTAGATTAGACATCACATTGGGCAGAGGTCAGGCTCGGGTCTTAATAAAACCAGCTATAGCTGCTGCTTTCTCTTCGATGGAGGAGAGGAGAGGAGAGGAGAGGGTTCGTTTTCATCCAACTGCTGCAACCAATAGGGTTTGTCTTCCTCCTCCCTACCCCAAAAAACAGTGACAGTGGCAGACAGACAGACCCTTCACCTTCTCGTTTCAAATCAGAGATAAATGTAAAACACAAAAGTAGTCCCCTGACAAGAAGTGATAATAACCATTGGATTTGGATCAGTAGCATTTATACTTGCTTTAACTGAACCTGCATCCATCCATCAATCAATCAATCGTCTGGTTTGGTTTTGGGAAGTTGGTGGGTGCCTTGGAGGGGAATGGGACAGTGGAGAAGAAGGAAGGGGACGAACAAAGGAAAGAAGCAAACAAAAGCATCTGCGTTTTTTTTTTTTTTTTTTGTTGATGGGGTTGGGTTGCTGTCTGTAATTATCCATGTTTCTGGTTCCTGGGGTATGAAGGCACTGTTTCACTTGCCTGGGTAGCTATCCGCCAAAGCCAGCAAGCTGGCTTATGATGGGATGGAACTTGGAAGGGTCCAAGAAAGTAATTGAATCCAAAATCTAGTGAAACTCAAACACGCTTGACATTTTCAACACTTCATGTTGTCGGGATTTTTCCAGAAATAACACCTTTTAAAAAAAATTACAAAAATAGCACCCATTCTAAAAAATTTACACTAATAGCACCCTTTTTAATGGACCGCACCTCTAAAGTGCGTTCCCTATTTCTGGACCAAAACCGCATTATGGCCAAGCGGTTTTAGGTCTGACCTACAGAAACCGCTTGGCCGAGGTGCGGTTTTGGCCTGACCTATTAAAACCGCATCATGAAGGTGCGGTTTGTTTCTCCCAAACAAAACCGCACTCTCATGGTGCGATTTTGCCATACAAACCGCAGCTTGGAGGTGCGGTTTTGGTCAATCAATTTCCGACATACCATGCAGACGTAACAGACGTGGGTCTGCATGGACCTGCTTGACAGACGAAAACCACACCTACGTAGGTAGCAATTTTCAGAAGATAAAGGTCGCTACCAGACCGCTGCTTGAAGACCTCCATCAAATGTGCACTAACGTTACTTGCATGGATGGCACGAGAAGAGTTGATCGTATGGTGTACCGATATCCAAACAGAGAAAGTGGGTCATTGTGGCATGAGGAATATCTCATAACCACTCAGGATGAGGTAGATGTCATGCTCGAATTCATGAGGTCCAACAATCTTTCCAAAGCCGAGATGTTCGTTTACACCGAGCCGGTCGTAGGCGTTGGAGGTCATTCTGGACACGGTCAAACATCTGGTATCCATGGTGGAGGTGAATTATATGGCGATCATCCCTACCAAAGTTACCATGATCCTCATTCATATTTTCAGTACCAAGAGCAAGATGAAGGTCATCATCAATCTTTCACGTCATATGAAGAAGTTCAACCGGACCTCCCCAACCAACCTCAGTACAACTTCCACTCAGGCAGCGGTAGTTTTCACAACTACCATTATGGAGCTGATGAAGGTGCCTTTCATGAGCTGGATCAGATGGAGGATGCCCTGCCAGCACCAGTCAGTGACCCCTCCGATGAAGAAGGAGAGAACAACGTCAGTGCAGACAGCTCCGACCCTCTTGAAGGTGCTGATGATTCAGGATCAGAGTCAGACTCAGCTAATGATGATGAGGTGGCTCGTGACCGTGTACTAGTCCCCTACTACAATCACATTCCATACGACAATTGGATGGTCGACAGCGACATGGAGCCGCCAGAGGTCCCAATATGGGGTCCACTCACTGGGTTTATGAAGGGCCAACAATTTGGCTCGAAGAAGGAGGTGCGGCACGCCATTGAGACAGAAGCAATGACTCGGCATTTTGAATGGCACACAACTCATTCCAACACTAAAAGGCTCATAGTCAGATGCCGTAATCATCAAGAGGGGTGCAATGTTAGGATTCGGGCCATCAACAGCAAGAGACACGGCTACTGGGTCATATCCCGTGCGGTGAACACACACACATGTGTGTCATCCATAACTTCCCAAGGCCATCGACAGTTGAAATCCAGGGTGGTTGCTGCGGCTATCAAGCATCTAATTGAGCAAGATCCGGACCTGAAGGTGAAAGTCATAATCGCTGACATTGCAAGTCGTTATGGTTATATGATTAACTATAAGAAGGCGTGGCATGGAAAGCAGAAAGTTATGGCCGCCGTCTTTGGTGATTGGGAAGAATCATATGCATTCCTTCCCAGGTTAATTTTGGCATTGGAGCGTCTAACCCTGGCACGGTTTTCTCCCCTCGATACCAAGATGAAGAGATACAACCCCTAGATCCAGGTAACAAGCGCAATTTCAGACGACTTTTTTGGGCATTCAAGCCATCTATTGATGGTTTTGGCTTCTGTGTCCCAGTCATCCAAGTGGATGGTACATTCCTTACCGGCAAGTACAAGGGCACTCTCCTGATTGCCATGGGGCGGATGCAAACAGACAAGTCTTTCCTTTAGCCTTCGCCATCGTTGAGGGAGAGAATGCTGATAGCTATGAATGGTTTTTCCGGCAAATTCAGCTCCACGTCACTAGGAGGACGAACCTGACAATAATCTCTGATCGGCACACCGGCATTAGAGCTGCCATCTTAGGTTTGATCCAGCCTGGAAGTGGTCCCAAAGGTGGTGAATACGACACTTCAAGAGCAACTGGAACCATCATTTCAAGCGGAAGAAGCTTGCTGATAATTTGTGGTGGATTGGTAAGTTTGTAATTAGTCGTATAATTTTGCCAGCTAACAATATCTTAGTACATTTGGCCAGTGGTGCACTTGTTAGACACTTTCTAAAGTGATGCATGCCTAAGGAAATGGGGTTTTAAGCGATTATCATGATCCTCCCATTTCCTGGGAAAATCGGGTTTTAAGCGATCTTCGGATCCCCCCTTTTTCTGTCAAACAGGCTGTGTTTCTAAGGAGATGTATACCTCTCCTAAGAGTCTAACTAGAGTACCTCCGGGTTGTTCGAATTGTACTAAATTGCCAAAAATTGACTAACATACTACTTTTCTGTGTCTTCCTCAGCGGTTGCCTACCAAGAGAAAAAATTTTTGGAGAAGATGCAGAAGTTGCACGAGTTATGCCCTGAAGGGGCACAGTGGCTGGATGGACATGACCTATCCATGTGGACATTTCATAAAGATGGAGGGATAAAATGGGGTATTGCCACAACGAACTCAGGTGAGAGTATCAACTCTGTCTACAAGGCCATTCGTGCACTGCCAATCTCTGCCATTGTGGAGATGACTTTTTGGAAAACGAATGCATGGTTCGTCAACCGACTCCACTGGGCAAGGACGAACGAGGCACAGGGTAAGGTCCATGCCTATAAAGTCATGGAAGTAATGGAGAATGACAATCGCAAGAGCAGTCGACATAGTGTAACCGTTATGAATCGGGCAAATGGCGAGTATAGCGTGACGACCGGACATCGGGAGGATGGTAGAAGGGGGGGCCACCGCGATGAAGTTTTGGTCAATTTCAGGACAAAAGTTGGTGAGTGCTCATGGCAGAAGTATCAGGGAAGAGGGTGGCCTTGTTCTCATGCAATGGTCGTAATTAAAAACAGGAGCAAAGACCCCCGTCACTTCGTTAGTCCATTCTTCAATATCGACTCACTCAAAAACACCTATGGACGGAGTTTCCGTGCATTGCCTGATGAAGCTTATTGGCCGATGTACGAATGAAAATTGATCATCCCGCCGTTCGGACAGAGGCGTGAACCGGGTCGCCCTAGGAAAAAGAGAATTCAGAACGAAATGGATCAAAGTGGAAGACCACCACGAGGCCCAAGACGATGTTCAATATGCAAAGTTCCAGGACATGATAAACGAAGGTGTCTAGGACCGATTGGTCTGCAAAATCCGGGTGCTGATGTGCCAGACTCAGCTAATGCGACATAGTTTGCTTTTATCATTTTTTTCAAGCTAGCTGAGACTCTTACTTTGCAAGTAATTGTGTATTGTTGATTGAACGAAATGTGTAATGTGTATTGTATATTGTTGCTTTTATCGTTCTTTGGC